TTAATTTGTTTTTATTTTTTTTCCGCTCTGCTTTCCTCTCTACGCTGCACCGCTTGTGGCTGTGGTATTGTCTTCCTAAAACCATTGGTGGGTGTATTCAAATCACAAAAAAGTATCTAACAATTTGTGCATTATTTCATTTAATTCCATTTCTGACAAAAGCGATATTAAGGGGATTTAATTAAGTCGATCGATTAACCAAAAACATGTATGATTGACATGCGCCGGAGGCGTTCAGGCATTTTGGCTTGTAATTGAACTTTGGATGTTAATTTAAATGTTAATTTTTTAATAGGCAAACAGAGATCTAAGAGCGTTTTTGTACCGACTCTATTAACCAACCTTAAAAATATTTAAAGCTCCACTTTAACGCCCTTATCTGTCAAATTCTTTATTAATATTTTGTTCCATACCTCCATCATACTGAAGAAATTGTTTTGTTTTGTTATATTTACATTATTGGCACTTTAAATTCATGACTGTGTTATCCATACAAAATACATACAAAAATCTGCTAAAGTGGTTCAATAAGTCTAAAACCATGTTCACACTGTCTCATTTCGGCGGTTTTGCTCGTTGTAGCCATTAATGAGGATGATTTACCATACAAAGTGCTTTCATATAAATGAGGTAATTATTAATAAATCAGCTCAATTAAGCCAAAAAATGTCAAATACAACTATTAGGAATAAATTTCCAATAAGGGAAATTACAAAAATTTGAAATATGTCATATGTTTTATATATAAAATAAAAACAAACAATAGCTGAGCTGTATATAAAGACACGGAGGAAGTAAGTATTTAATAAAGTTTTTGTTTTTTTTAATTAAATAAATAATTAATATATAAAATGATTTCATGTATTATATAATTAAGTGAACTTCATAAAACTTTATAAAACTTCTATCAGCTGCATAAATGAACTCATTATAATGTGAACGGTAACTAATTAATATAAATGAGCAAGTACCTAAGGGAGACAATGTGAATGTACATTGTCTCAGTATAAACATAGTATAATAATACTCTTGTTTGTAAAACAGTCTTTCATAACTATTTAAAATGCTTGTTTTTGCATTTTCTATTAAATGATAAAGATGAAATTGTCTTAAATGATTAAATTGGTCTACCTCCATAGTTTGCTGCCAATGGAGAGATTCATTATTGATAAAGATAAAAGTATTAAAAATTGTTAAATAGTAGCCTGTATCCAAAATCTACAACCAATAGAGAAGTTTGACATTTAAAAATGATTTGATCAAATAATAAGATATTGTTATAGTGACAACAGAACTCATATTTCATAGATGTCATATATTTAAACCAAAGTTGATATAGATTTTTTAAATATAAATAAGAGAAACGGGAACGCTACTCTCTAAAGAACGATAAATGCCATAAGTTTTTTACAGATGGCTCAAAGTTAGATGAACATGTCGGAGGAGGAGTATATTGTCCTGAAATAGGTCTGAGTCAGAATTTCCGGCTAACAGATCACTGTAGCATTTTCCAAGCTGAAGTATCTGCTATAGGGGAAGTTTCGGATTGACTGAAACACAATGTTAGCTACGTTAATTTTATAAACATATTTATTGATAGTCACGCAGTTATAAAATCTTTTAACTCATCGTCCATAAACTCGAGGGAGGCACTGAATTGTCTTACATCGCACATGGTGATGGCTGAATACTTTAGCATACGTATTATTTTAGTTCCCTGACACAGGGACATCCAATGCAACTGTAAGGTAGATGAACTAGTAAGGCATGGTACGACTGCACAAATTCTTCTGGGAAAAGAAAGTGTGGGTATATCACTTCCTGTTTGCATCGAATAAATTTATGAGTACAGCGGATATTTAGAAGAAGGTGGTCAATAGTGACCACTGTATTAAAACCAAGCAATTTTGGTCAGAAATAAATAAGAGAAGAACAGGGGGACTAATCAAACTATCCCGAGTAAATCTATTTAAGATAGTGGGAATTATTACGGAACACTGTCCGTTAGGAGGGTATGCTGTGAGGCTCAATATGAGGGATTCTTTGCACTTTAGATATTGCATGGAGGTTGGCGAAGTGGAATCACCATAACGATTGTATTGGTTTGAAAAATGATAAATGTAGCTGAACTATAAGATAAAACTAATCAAGAAGTTAATTCAGAAATGATATGGGCAAAAGCAAAGTCAATACTGCAACAGGTATGCGATATATTCCTTTTTTATCAGAAGGTATAAATGAATAAACTTGACGGTTTTCCAACGCGAGAACACGCCACATATAATTGGCCATGTGAAAAGACCTGATTTTCTAGATCTATTCTACAAATCGACATTATTTGACCTTGTGACTTATTAATAGTCATGGCAAATGCCAAACGAATTGGAAATTGCAGACGTCTGAATGGAATGGGTGAGTCTGAAGGGATCATTGAGATTCGTGACAGGAGAACAGCTTCACCTTCAAATTTGCCATTCAAAATTGTAGCTTCAAGTACATTGCACATAATCTTTTTTATGACTAATCTTGTGCTATTGCATAGCTTAGGTGCATTTAAATTCCGCAGGATATTAAATAAGTGAGCCAATTTTTAAATCTGAAGTTATGTGGTGGCATTCTTGGTAAATCCAGCGAATTCAAAAATTCAACAGGATAGTTGAACGATGTATTTTAGAGACTTTAAACTTTTTAAACAAATCAAAGTAAGCATGAATAAATTTTAAATGTGTAATATAAATGTATATGAATACCAGAAAACTGTATAATAATTAAAAAAACATTATCCAGTGGGCCAAATTGTAAATCTAAACTATCCTTGAATCCACTTGAACATGCACAAAAAATTTCATCAAAATCGGTTAAACCGTTTAGGAGAACACACGTACAGAAGAATTATATATATAAAGATTATCAATTAGAAGCATTCAATTTATAATTCTCATTAAATTTGACACCTTTTAATATGAGACTAGTTTAACGTAAATTTTGTGTCTGAATTAAATATGTATTGGTGGTATATTCGTCGAATGAGTTATAAGTACAGATGATAAGTAGAACTGCCTTTAATATTTTATCAATATTTAATATAAAAAATATATCCCTAAACAACATTTTCTTTTATGAGTATTCAATTTATAATTCTCAATAATTTCAACTCCGTCTTACTATATATAAGTTATGTAGGTTTTAGTCAAAGTGAGTTTAATTTTAATATAATATATATATATGACATATTTAAGTACGTTTTTTGTACGGAGTACGTTCTCTCAAGGAAGCAGTATATTAATTTGCTTATGTGTATGTACAGATATCATTTTTGGTCATGTCTAGTGACTTTTTCTAAAGATAATTATGTATTCTAGCATTATGTTTCGATTGCGCTCACTATAAGTTCAGAATAAGAGTTATTATGTCAAATTAAAACCTTTGAGCATGACCAATTATTGTTAAACAAATTATGGAGAATATTGTACAATATTTTATACAGCTATATCATGAGCTTTGATGAAACATTGGTTCTATTATCTCTTAATTTTGTACAATTAGCTCTTATTTTAGTACTATTATCTCTTGTTTTTGTACTATTTTGTCTAATATTTGTACTATTATCCACGGTTGCCACTTGAAATTTTTTTTCTGTACCAAAATTGGTTTAAAAAGGTACCATTTCTGTAAAAAAAAGGTCCAAAATTTTTTTGGACCTTTTTGTTTTCTCGTTCTTTGTTTTTCATAGTGTTATAAATGAACAAAATATAAAATAGTGCAAAGTTGCATTTATAAAAAAAATTAATTGGAAATATCCACAATAAAGTTGGGTCGTCAAAAATGTACCATTTTTTGAAAGTGAGTACCAAACGAAAAAAAAAGTACCAATTTTGGTACTAAAGTACCATAAGTGGCAACCGTGCTATTATCTCTAATTTTTTACTATTACCTCTTATTTTTGTACTATTATATCTTATATTTGTACTATTAACTCTTATTTTTGTTACTATAATGTAATATATTTTGTTGAAGAACATCATAATATAAATTTATATATAAATTTACCAATTCGGATGTGGAACTATTGTTCTCGAAACCACTATAATTATAAATAGTGTAATATTTATTTATATATTATTATAATATTAATATTATATTATATTGTATTATAATATAAAATTATATAATATATTATAGCAAATACTACTACACGTTTTAGAAACAAGTTATGATAAATATTACCACCATAACTCTTCCTTAATTTGTTAATTTCATAAAAAAAAGTAAATTTCTAATATATATACTATATATATATAGTATATCATATTTTATTTTATATATATTTTAATTGCGTTTAAAAAAAAATAAACTAAATAAAAATCCCACGCCACATGAAGATCCTTCATTCCTAAGTTTGGTAATTGGTTGCATGGATGCCTTTGGGACCAAAATGTAAACTTGAAATATCTTAATTAGTGCAACAACCGGACAAAACCTAATGCTCCGTACCTTTACAAAAAAAAAACAAAATAAAAATTTTTTATTTATAAGCTCAAGGAGCAATAACAAATCCAGCAAAAAATAAACACCAGCAGCGACTATTTTCTGGTGCCAACCCACACAATAAGAGACCGTCCGAGTGGCATAGCAGACAGCAACGGTTGCACATGTCAAAATCGCACAATTCTCGGAACAGAAATGTAACTTCATACGTATTTGGTCATATTCAGTGGCTGCATTATAGAGATATCAAATTGTATTAGGCTTGAAGCATTTAAGAGTGCTCGAGGTGCACAGTCACGGACAAAAACGCAGTCCGCAAAACAGTCGCCGTTGTTCCATGCCTAATGTCCACTGTCACCTACAATCGCTTTTATTTGTGCATTCACTTGAATGCTGCTTCAAACTAATGCCGCTACATTTAGCAACTTACCACAGGTAAATACGTTTACCTTATAATTTATGTATCTTAACTGACTGAAATTAGTGAAGACAAAAATGAATACACAATATGCGTAATAAATACAATTTTCAATTTATTCACTAAACCTAAGCGACTACATTCGTTTGCTTCGAAGTTTTTTCACAGCGTTTCTTTGTAATTATCCCACAACGTATTGTCGAACCAAGTTCTTAGTGCGGATACGCGTGCATAAACTCCTGGCTTGTCGGGTAGTGCACATCCAACACCCCAGGAAACGATACCAATTAGTTTACCATTAGAAACCAGTGGGCCGCCAGAGTCCTTTTGGCAGGCATCCACACCACCCATCAAATAGCCAGCACATAACATGTAATCTGTTATTTTTGAGGCCATCAATCGATTACAGGCCGCCTGATTAACAATTGGTACCGTGGCATAGCGCAAGATTTCTGAGTCGTCACCATTGTTGCTGGTATAACCCCAACCGGCCACCATAGCGAGACTACCATCACGCAAAGTTTCTCCTGATTTCGCCAAAGGAATTGGTTGTATGGTATTGCCAAAATCGAATGGACTTGTTAAACGTACTAGACCTGCATCTTGATCCATTCTGCTAGATGTCCATGCTTTGTTGTAAAAAATTGCTGATACCGTCTTCATTACTCCCTCACTTGTTGAGCGCGTTTTTGCACCTGCGTGCACTTTGATCAGGCGCGCTGTGGTATGTGCTAGGCAGTGTGCAGCAGTGGCTACGGTGCGTGAATTTATGATAGCGCCCCCACAAAAGTGATATCCGTAGGTGACTAGCGATACGACATAAGGTATATTTATGTCATTCGCTGGTAAACCGCCAACGATGCGCACACTAGGCTTTGTGCTATTCAGTGAGGCTGCGTTGGCTTGCGTTAATATCGCAGATATGCCAAGGAGTGCAAGCAGCAAATTTCTTTGGAACGCGCACATTTCTCTGTCGTGAACTTTTTTAGTGGCAAGTCGTAGGTGTTCTGATCGGAAGACTACTTTTGCAATGCAACTTTTATAATTTGTGAACTTGACTATTGACAATGATAAAGTGTTTTGAACTGATAAGCGAAAAACAAAACATTGTTTTCTAATTAGAAATAAAAAAAGCAAACAAAAAGATAATGAAAAATTAAAAATTTCAAACTAGCGGAAGACTATTCTAAGATTTTTCTACGGGAAAGCACAGGGTTAAAATGAAACTATTACAAAATCTAATCTGTTATGTAAATTTAGTTCACCAGACTGATATTACATTATTTCCATAAATGATTGAATGGTTAAAAATTGAATTTGATTTTGTATTAAATTTGATTTTAACGTCAGCTATCACGCTAGTGACTATTTTACTTGATAGAAGTTATTGTAATAAATAGAGAGGTTTCGAACAGTAGTGAATTGTAACAACAATATTTTCATTTATTTTGTATTAATTGAATTTTTGTTTGGCTGATCATACAGTTGTTTCAAGTATTGCCAAATACACATCAACAGTGGTCTTAGAATTATTTGTTAGATTTAATTATTCGTAAATTATTTTTTGAGACTGCAAGTACCAACTTGTGCCCTGCCAAATTTGAAACTAAGACTGAGTGTTCACTAGCCAACTGATTTGCTGTATATTAAATTAATTATAGTTACTTTTCGCCTTTTGTTTTTTAAATTATTTAATTGTTTTTTTTTAAATTCCATTTTTGGGTAATCTTGTAATTTTTCGATATGTTTTTCGACAAAAATGAGTTTATATGTATATATATGTTGATCCTTTTTTCGAGTCAGCGTAACTGGGAACTTTTACTCTTTGATAGCTGGGGGTACTACAGGGTCCCACCTATCTCATTGACTAATTTATGTATTGCCTATAAGCTTCATGATTATTCAGTGAATGATCTACGATCTGCGAATTATTATTAATTGCTATTTGTAATTCTTATTAATTATAAAAATTTAGTTATTAGAAAACTGCATTGTATCCATTAGCAATAAATTTTCTGCTCTATTATACATTATATATGCTTGTGTGTAATCAACCACTTATTATTATTATTATTTTAAAATAAAAATTTTTAATTGCTATTATTTTAGTTGTCATTATATTTCTGTAATAATAAAAAAAATATTTAGTTATGTTAACGTAATTCTAAATTCGGAAATATTTTTAAACAACATTATAAGTAGCAAAATGAATTGCTCTTGATATAAATTGCGAAATCAGTAGAGCAAATTGTTGGCTTAAATTGTTATTAATATTATGTTATATATACACATATATAAAATACTAATTTTATTAATATTTATTCATTATTATTTTATTTATTACAAATTAATTATGTCTGACTATCAAGTTTGCACACTTTAGATTAATTAAGTTTCCGTTTTGGTAAGTTTAACTGTTATGTTATGCAGACAGTCAAATCACAATTTTACTGTTTGAAGACTGTCAATTTTTTACTGTGCCTACTTTTTTGATATTTTTTGGTTACGACTGAATTTGAAAGACAATATTTATATGATGAATATATTGATCAATACTGCCTTTTTCCATATGATTGAATATAATAATTTATATAGTTAATGATAGTTAATTGTTGTGCAAAACTATTTTTACCCAAAAATTATTGTTATATCAGCAAACAAAATATTTTAATAACAAATGCAGTTCAACTGTGAAATTTTTTGCCGAAAAATATGTTTAAATAATCGATGGAAAAAAAACGAAAACACTTTTTGAACCATTAATGTAAATGTTATACTATATATATATATATATATGTAATTATTGAGCCTCACATTATGCAAAGAAAATATCAAAGTTCTAACCAGATTTCGTAAATGACACTGCAAGCTAATATCGGATATATTTTTAGTTGCATGAGAACATGAAATGATAATACAAACCAGAAATATTATTGGAACGGAACTTTCTTTATTATAATCTGGCAGAAAATTTAATGGCATTATTTTTTTGAATATGATTACCAATATATGTTTGTCGCTGCTATGAGCAATATCATCAATTCGATCAGTCCAATTTTTGACTATATTTTTCAATAAATGTGGCCTTATTGCGTCATATGGTGTCATGAACATTGGCTTCCAATGCTTTAAGAGTTCTCAATGCTGGTTTGTCGGCATAAACTAATGACTTGTCATAGCCCCACCAAAAAGTAATTGAGAGGTGTTCAATCAAGGGTACCAGTTAACAGGATCACTTATAGAAATAAAGTTGTTACCAAATATATTTCGAAGTAAATCCATTATTAAAAGCACTGTATGGCAAGTTGCGCCACTCTTGTTTGGGATTCTCCTTCCTTTTATTTATTTTACTGGGTTTTGGTATGCATCTACGTTGACTTTTTGACTGCGTTACAAAGAGCTTGACAAAGTCAATGGTTTCATTTAATCAATATGTGAAGGGTCTATATGTATGATTCTATTGTTAGATCCATTAATTTATAAAATAATAGCTTAATTATTGTAATTATTGTACACATATTTATTTATTTAAAAAATAATGTTGTTTTTAAAATGTATGTAGACAGTGGCGTAACTACATTTTTTAGGCCTGTAAGCAAATTCTAACTAAGGGGCCCCTACCAACATACTAAGGGGCCCCTCTTTTTATACTCTTTACACGAAAAAATGTGAAAAGGATATATAAGGTTTGTCAAGATTTTCGTAACGCATTATAGGAAACGTCGGAAATACCATTAAGTATATATCAGTACAATATATATATACTTTTTCAGTTCAAACTACTCTCTCAGCTTTTGAACTCTTCGAATGAAACTTTACACACATACTTTTCACCATTTGATTTGATTGAAATTGGACGTCTATTTCTTGTAGCTGTGATATAAACTTAACAATCGGATATGAGGTTTCTCCGTTTTTAATAAAGGTATTCAAATGGAATTTGGTGTATACAGTACTGATATTTGCAAAAGACAACGTACAAAATTATTTTCAAATGGGTTTAAATCTAAATATAGCTTCCATATAAGTCTCTCGAGTAAGACACATATTTTTCTTAGAAAAACTTTTTTATTTTATAAATAGGTTTAATATTTTATTTGAAGTACATACATATTATATACTTTAAATTTAAAATTTACGTATATTTTATAAAATCAATATGAAGTTATTCCAACAAAAAACGTTTCGTCCCACTTTTGAGAATTTATTAAAAATAAATACAATGAATACAAAAATTTATAGTGGGGCCCCCTAAATTCGGGGGCCCGAAAGCGTTGCTTCCAGTTGCTTCCCTGTAGTTACGCCACTGTATGTAGATGACCATTGATGAGTTAATATCATTATTAGTTAATCGTTTGATCGTTAATTGATACGTTTGAATAATTTCTCTCCAAGTGTCTGTAATTAAGCAAGAGTTTAACTGTCTATATAGAGCACAGACCTCATAATATTTAAAAAAGAATACAACCGTCACAGTTGGTAACATTATTTTAAAGCTTAATAATTGGTTAAAGCAGATGAGGTTAGCATAATATATCTCCTTAGTCTCGGTGTATTCCCCACTTAAAAATAATAATAATAAAGTAACAATACCTTATACCCACTTCAGTTTAGGTAAGTTAATATTTATTAGCAGCTCAATTTTCTGAAGTTATTGTGTTTGTAAATTTGTTTGTGGTTTTCATAATCTTCTAGAATAAAGGAAGAATGAACCTCTTGCGCTTTCACTTCAAACTGCTGAAATTCGTGTGGGAAGTCTTATATTTTTTCTGCCCCCAGACGGAAAATTAAATGGCTTTGCTTTCATTATAGAGGTCAGGTAGGTTTATAATAACAGATCATATGTACGTGAAAACTTCCTTTTTTGGTATTTGTCGATTTCTTTAATGTTAGAGCGTGATATATTCTTAACATAGTACTTAAAGTACACTGAGAACCTCTGTACTACTAGTCAGCCCTCTAATTGTTGCTATGAGGATTTCATTCATGACTGTAACCTGCTAACACATGGCAGTTAGATTAAGGACAAATAGGTGACTCACATAGCTGGCTCCCTAATTTGATATTTTAAATGTGCATAGGAAATATATGAGTTCTGAAAAAAATGAACGTGGTTGGATTACAATACCCCTTTTTTGTCATTCGAAGTCATAACGTTTTTTTTGTTCTTTTCTTCTAAATAAACAAGATCAATTCATCATCAGTTTTATATTCTGATATGTTACAGACATGATATAGATTTAAATTTGTCTTATGATCCAACTAAGAGGGCCATGCCATTATTTGTAATAATACTGGTATTAGTTCTTCACTCTTAAGTTAGTGATAAGGAAGAAATATATATAGATATAGATATGTTTTTCAAAATGATTACTTTTATACTTATATACTTATTCCCATTTAATTTTCCAGTGCGTTGTAAAGAGTTTGACAAACTGATCGGTCTTATTTAATCAGTGCTTAAGGTATGAGAGTACATGATTCTATTAATTACTGAAACTCGGCAAATAGTTAAATATAGTAAATAAATTTATAAAATAAATAATAAGTTTAATTATTACAAATAGAGTATGTATTTAAAAAATGTTAAAAAAAATTTAGCTTTTGAAATATAAGTGGATACAAAGAGGCAATACATAACTTTTAATGATGAGCTGACATCACTATGAATTAAACTGTCGGTAATTATATTCGCATATACCGTAATTAAATTTTTATGCAAATTAGTTATGGCTTTTTTCCAGCTATTTTTGTTTTTACTTACTAGAATAAAGTAACAGTAAATATAATGTATCTAAAAAGAACCACACTAAAATTTGATCTAATAATCTTAGTGATGTTGCTGCAGTTTGAATTAGTGAGTTGCCTTAAATATTCGAAGTTCCAACAGAGTTAATATTTTTTTTATAGATAATTAGCAGTTCAATGTACTATAAAGTGAAGAATATAGATTGCTTACCAAATCCGAAATATATACGAAATTCCACTTGTAAGATGAAGGCC